GCTCTATCTTTAAAAAAAAAAAAAAAAAAAAAGGAACACCTGGGTAGCTTAGACAGTTAAGCATCTGTCTTTGGCTCAGGCCATGATTCCAGGGTCCTAGGACTGAGTCCTGCGGGCTCCTTGCTCAGGGGGGAGCCTGCTTCTCCCTCTGCCTGCTGCTCCCCCTGCTTGTGCACTCTCTCTGTCAAATAAATAAATAAAATCTTTAAAAAAAAAAAAGAGTCAGGGGCACCTGGGTGACTCAGTGGGTTAAGGCTCTGTCTTCCGCTCAGGTCATGATCTCAGAGTCCTGGAATCGAGCCCCACATCAGGCTTTCTGCTCAGCAGGGAGCCTGCTTCCCCCTCTCTCTCTGCCTGCCTCTCTGCCTACTTGTGATCTCTCTTTCTCTCTGTCGAATAAGTAAATAAAATCATTAAAAAAAGAGAGAGACACTTAAGCAACTGGGCCACCAGGGCACCCCATTCAGCCTTTAAGAAGAAGGCAATCCCATCACAGGCTACAATATGCATGAACCTCGAGGAAATCACGCTAAGCAAAATAAACCAGCCACAAACGGACAAATACTATATGATTCCATTTATATTAAGTATTCTAAAATAGTCAAAATCATAGAGACAGAAAGTGGAAAGATAGTTGCCAAGGGCTGAAGGGAGAAGGGAGGGGGAATTAGTGTTTGAGGGGTATAGAATTTCAGTTTTGCAAGATGAAAAAATTCTAGTCATCTGTTGCACAACCACTTAAATATGCTTAACACTACTGAACTGTACACCTAAAAATGGTTAAGAAAGTAAACTTAATGTTACGGTTTTGGTTTTGTTTTTTACCACAATACAGAAAAAAGAACACAAGTACACATACAAAGCTTTGAGATGAATGAAAGAAGCCAGACACCACCAGTCACTGTATGACTCTATTTATATGAAATTCAAGAACAAAGCAAAACTGGTCTATGGTAATAGAAATCAGATTGGTGGTTATCTATGAGGTCGGAGTTTTGAGCCTATTAATAACCACAACTGAGGTAGGACCTGCCCTTGTGGTTCTTCTTATGATTCCAAGATGCCCTTCAGCAACAACCATCAGGAAACTTTAAAGAAATAAAGAATTATTACTTATGAGACCTGGAAATCACACAGGAAACCTGGAGCCACACAGCAAGGTCACAGGAAGAGAGTGAGTGTGCATGGGCATGGGGTTCTGTTTTTATTGGAGTCAAAGGTAGGGGGCTAGGGTTTCCTGGGCTCACTCTTTATTGCTGAATTTAAAACAGGGTAGCAGAAATTTAAAGCTTGGGAAGAGAAAAAGGCAAGAGGACCAAATGGTCAGTTACAGAAATTAACCAAGATCTCTGAAACGAAGGAGCAGCAGCAGGTCAAGACTGGCTCTTTATCCAGGCTGGGGGCTGTCCTGGTGTTCATTTGAGAAGTGGATGCCTCCTTGAAATGCATGCCTTGGCCATCAAAGCTTAAGTCAGGCACTTGCATTACAAAAAAGAAAAAAGGCAACAACTGTCAGTTCACAGCCCTCCTAGGGAACTTCCTGCGTGTAATCTAAAACTGGCCCCCAGAGACACTGCCCCCCCCCAAGATCAAAGAAACAGGTCAGCCACTCCAGTCTGATCGACAACAGTTTTATTTGTGTATTTATTTATTTAGAGAGAGAGAACAAAAGGCGGGGCAGGGGGCAGAGGGAGAGAGAATCTTAAGCAGGATCCCCGTGCTAAATCAAAAGGAACTTACATACAAAGTTTGTTTTGGGTGGCAGCAAGAGGAATGGCTCCCCACCCTCCACTGCCAAAGTTTAAACATTTCTATAGTGGCCTTAACTGGGTTCAGTCATATATACCATCCAAATGTTAACACCACATCACTATCTCCAGGCCACATCCCTGGAACAGCCTTTGGGTGTGGGAAAGGCACATGGAGCCCCTGTTTGGAGGACAGGAGGAGATGTGGAGCTTCCCAGTCCCCAGGTTCAGCTAACAGGTCAATGGATGGTCACAGCTTTTCCATGACCTTCCCCAACATCTTGGAAAAACACACCCACTGTCCGCATGGATGGTTCACACCCCCACTGCACTGCCATTGGCCATGGACACAATGTCTGTGTCCCCCTCAACTTCTTATGTTGAAGCATACATGCCCCCTTCAGCATGATGGTGTTAGGAGGTAGAGCCTTTGGGATGTGACAAGGTCGTGAGGGGGGAGTCCTCAGGAATGGGATTAGTGCCCTTGTGAGATGAGGCAGGACACAGTTTGCTTCCCCCACACAACTGTCGGGGCCTTACACAGAGATTGAAGGGGAAGGAACAAGAAGGAACCCTCTCTGGCTCATGGTGGTGATTATACAGGTATATACAGATACCAAAAGTCTAAAAATTCAGTGAGCCCCAGGTAATACTTGTGCACTTGCCTACAGTATTATGTATGTCATACATCAGAAAAAAACCTTCAAACAACACCAACCAGCATGTCACAGGATTTGACATAAAACAGGAAAAGGAAATGAGAAAGGCCAACCAAGCCACAGGCCAGGACACGTAGCAAATAGCAGAAAGTCAGGTTCAAGGACCTCAGAGGCTTCAGTATTAATGAGTCTTTATGTATGAAGATGATATTTCCTCTCCATGCTCGCCAACATTGGTATGGTCAATCTTTTTCATTTTAGTCATTCTCACAGGTGTGTAGAAATAGTTCATTGTGGTTTTATCTGTAAAGTCTGTACTGGTGTCACCTCTCTCATTCCTGATTAGTAATCTGAGTCTCTCTTTCTCTCTTTCCAGTATGGCTACAGGTTTATCAATTATAATGATCTTCTCAAAGATTTCATTTTTATTGACTTTTCTCTATTGTTTTTTGTTTTTTAGTTTGTTGATTTTCATACAGATATTTGTGGCTTCCTTTCTTCTACTTACTTTGAATTTAATTTGCTCTTTTTTTCCTGTTTCTTCCCTTTTTTATTCTTTTTTTTTTAAGAGACGAACGCGTGGGTGGTTGGGGAGGGGCAGAGTGAGAGGGACAGAGAAAATCCCAAGCAGGCCCCACACTGAGCACAGAGTCTGATGCAGGGCTCTACCCCCAGGACCCTGAGATCATGACCCAAGCCCAGATCAGGAGTTGGGCACCCAACCAACTAAGTCAACCAGGTGCCCCTCCCTGTTTCTTAAGATAGTAACTATGGTCATTTATTTAAGTCTTTTCTTCTTTCTTAATATAGTCATTAAATGCTATAAATTTCCTGACGCATCCCACAAATTTTAATATTGTGTTTTCATTTTCATTTGGATAAAAATACCTTCTAATTTCCCTTTCATTCTGTCTTTAATGCATGTGTTATTGGAAAGTATGTTATTCAGCTTGTGAATATCTCAGGGTTTCCTAGGCATCTGTTACTGATCCTAATTTAATTACACTGTGGTTAAAGAGTATGCTTGAATTCTTCTTAACTTGTTGAGACCATTTTTATGACTCAGAATATGCTCCATGTTGGCAAATGTTCTTTGTGCACTTGAAAAGAACTGTATATCCTCCTATATGGGGGTCATAGTGTTTGACAAATGTCAATTAGACTAAGTTAGTTGACAGTGCTTTTCAAGTCTTCTGTACTCTTTCTGACTTTCTGCCCACATGTTCTATCAACTGTGAAAAGAAGGATATTGATATCTCAAAGTATAGCTGTGAATTTCTCTGATTCCCCCTTCCATTCTACTGGGTTTTGTTTCATATACTTTGAACTCCTATTATCTGGTGCACAAATGTTTGGGATTTGTAAGTCTTCTTGATTAATTTGCTCCTTTATCATTATGAAATAACATTCTTTCTTCCTAGAGATATTCTTTGCTCTGACGTCTACTTTACCTGATATTAAGATAGACACTCCAGCTTTCCTTTGATTAGTATTCACAGGCTATATCTTTTCCCATCATTTTCCTTTTAACATACATGCAACTTCAATATTTAAAGTGCTTTCTTGTAGGTAACAGATAGTTAAGTTTTACTTTTTTTAATCCAATCCAACAATCTCTCATTTTTTTTAAAGACTTTATTTATTTATTTGTCAGAGAGAGAGAGAGAGGGAGAGAGAGTGAGCACAGGCAGACAGAATGGCAGGCAGAGGCAGAGGGAGAAGCAGGCTCCCTGACGAGCAAGGAGCCCGATGTGGGACTCGATCCCAGGACGCTGGGATCATGACCTGAGCCGAAGGCAGCTGCTTAACCAACTGAGCCACCCAGGCGTCCCACAATCTCTCATTTTTACATGGTGTATTTAAACCATTTACATTCAAGATGATTTTTTACAGGATTAGGTTTAGATCTTATTACCTTCCTATTTGTCCTATTTGGCCTTTGTTCCCTTTTTTCTCTTTTTCTGTCTTCTTTTGATTGACAAATATTTTTATAATGCTCTTTTGTCTCCTTCATTGGCTTATTAGCTATAACTCTTCATTTTGTTGTTTAGTGGTTGCTTTAAGGTTTACAGTATTCGTCTATAATTTATCACCATCTACCTTTAAATGACAGCACACCATTAACCACACAGGTTAGGAAACCTTCGAAGGGATTCTAGTGTCTCCCCCACTGCCCAGTCTTTATTCTACTGTTGTCAGAACTTTACTTAAACATATGTCAAAGCTTCACAATAGAATGTTATCTGTTTTTATCATTTCAGGGTCTTGCTGTTCAGCTTTGCTAGATGGAAACAGAGCACTTCTCTATGAGTACTCCCTTCTATGTGTTCTACCCATTGCTCTGTCAATCATGAGGTATTCCAGTTTGGCTGGTGGGAACAGGCACTATTCTCAGCCCTGTGCTGAGGGGAGGGCATCTTTCCATGCTTGTGTGTGAGATGCGAGGAAACGACCTGAGGCCAGGGAACAAACCACCAGAAAGGATTAGAGTGAACAGACCTGACTGGCTCACATCATGGTGTTTGAGGGCAGATGCTGCTGAACTTCTTGGAACTAAGGACTCCATAGACAAAAGCAATCCCTAGGACTGAACATGAGGTATGACTTAGTCACAACTGTGAGGCGGTTCCTGGGCTCCTAGCCCAGGCCTAGCCAAGGACAGGTGGGAAAGGTTTTTAGAATTCCACATCCCCTCCCCAGATCCTCTTAGAAGGAAACATCTGCCTCACCTCCCTACTCCCCCACCTCACTTGCAATGGAGAAACACCGTGATATCCTGCAAATATGTCTTGAGGTGAGATGGAGTCATCCGTCTGATGGTCACATACATCAAGGGGAAAGTTGGAGTACAAAGCTGATGACCTACATTGAGCAGAACTTTAAGTCATCTGATCTGAGTCCAGATCCTGCTCATGATGCCAACTGAATATATGGTCCCCTCATGTTTCTGCCCCCATCAGTTTTCTCATCTGGAAAATGGTGGTAACAAGAATAATACCTACCTCAGGGAGTTCTTGAGAGGAGCACCTGAGATGATGTTCATAACCCAGCTGTGAAAAAACTTGCATGAGAGGCCTCAGCCCTCTTTCTCGATATCCATTTTGAGGACAAACTCAGCAGTTCAACTCCCAAAGTGGTTGACCCCTGAAAATAAATATAATATTATATGTCAACTGTACTTCAAATTTTAAAAAAATGTTTTTAAAGTTTTAGAACTGTATATAGTACAATTTCTGGTATTTACTGTATGTAAATAATACTTCAATAAGGTAGTTTTTAAAAAAAAAGAGAGGGGTGCCTGGGTGGCTTAGTGGGTTGGGCCTCTGTCTTCGACTCAGGTTGTGGTCTCAGGGTCCTGGGATTGAGCCCCACATTGCGCTCTCTGCTCAGTGGGGAGCCTGCTTCCCCTCTCTCTCTGCCTGCCTCCCTGCCCACCTGTGATCTCTGTCTGTCAAATAAATAAATAAAATCTGAAAAAAAAAAATGAATTCACGGGGCTGGGGGGAGGCACGTAGGTGGCTCAGTTTGTAGAACAGGTGACTCTTGGTCTCAGGATTGTGAGTTCAAGCCCATGTTGGGCATAGAGATTACTTAAAAATAAGAAAATCCAAAAATTACAAATTTTGGAGGACAAGGGGAGATGGAAAGGAGAAGGGAGTTGAGGGAAATTGGAAGGGGAGGTGAACCATGAGAGACTATA